TGAGGATATGAGCTTTTTGGCTGGGTATGTTTGCTTCAGCGCTGAAGTCAGTTTCCTATACATGATCCGGAACTGTGTATCCCGTTCGGTGAGCACTTAGAAAAGGCGTTCATTTTTGTATGGTCATTTTGGGTACGTATTCAACCCCGATTATGGGGTGCTTTTTGAAAATGTCAGCGGATACCCCTTGCTTTCCATACCTTGATTAGGAAGTGCTTTACAACTTTTAGCGTCTCTGCGCTGCAAATACTTGCAACTCGGTACAGAAAGCAGGCTGCTGAGCTTTGCTTGTTCTTTGTTGATACGAAACTGACTAACTGCTTGCTCTGATTTACCCAGGGCGTCTTTCGTAATACCTTTCCTTTAAGCGATCCATTCTGTCTTCGTCGCAGTAAAACATCAAATTTAGTACCTTACCGCCCTCCTCAGTTTCGTAGGCGAATTGTAACCTCTGATGTGCTTTATTAAATTTGGTTAACCGGGGAAGATGATTAGCTGAGTGTCACAAAGGATAAACGTGTAATCCACGTGTCGTTGTCAGTAAGCAATGAATGTGAGTAAGTGTCGGATAAATTCGCGTTCAAGTTATGGGAGCAAAATTCTGCAAGCCACAATCTTAAAGACAATAGCATCGCAACTCCGACTATTTTTCGATAATAGTGTATAAAAAATAGAAACTGGCTGTTGAACGGGCACGCATAATCGGCTTTTTTACAATGCATACAGGAATACGTAGGACAATACTGCTTTCCTTTGGGTACTCACGGATGAAATCAAGCGTTTCCAAAAACGGGACATTAGTAAAAGAGAGGCTTGATAAAATAAAAACAGCATTTTTTAAATGTAGGTTTTCTAGCTGCTGAACGTATGCAAATGAATCCCTCCCAGTCTGACTAGACAATTCTTTGTTTACCGGCCTGAGAAGTGTCACCAGATACTTGGCGTCCGAGTGTTAAGCAGACCCAAACATTCGATCACCGAAGGTAGTGGGATGTTATGTTCATGAACTTTTAGAGCACCATAGAAGCGAGGCGGATGAGAGCCTTGTTAGGCCCGCTTGTGGAACGCTACATTTCATCAAACATATATGGCAAAGTCTAAGCATAGACCAAGTGCTACACACCACGTAGTCCACGCCGACATCAAAACAGCACTTGAGATCTAACCAGTTATCACGCTGGCGCAGCAAATCGGGTGACACTGCTAGGCTGTTAAGAATGAACGTTATCTCTTATCCACTCTGCTACACTTGTCGCATCAAGGCGCCCACAACACAACTGGTGCGACCGGACAACGAACGTGTGCGCTTCTGTTCAAGTACTCAAGACTCGGACTTTTCCGTCGTCGCAACCGCACTGAAATCTGCATTGAACTTACAGCCATCATACAAGCACTTAACCTCTCTCTTGCATGTATCTTTATTATCTGTACAATATTATGATTTATATTAGTGCCTAGCCTTCTGATTTGGTAACTAATCTAGAGTAAAACGGCACCAACAATTTTCAAGGTCCTGATTTGTCAAGTAAGAACCTATCGGTGTAGTTAACGCGTTTTAGTTCCTTAAACGAATTGATTATTTCGATCTCCGCTTGTGCTCTGGGGTTCTTATGCACTGAATCATTCAGTAATTTGCTGGAATTCTGCAATGTGCTGTGCAGCTTGGACAACCAGTCTCACTTTTCCAAGGTTACCCAACCCGATCCCTTAACTGGAATTGGATGTCAACATCTTTACCGCTGTTCGGGGTGCATTGGTGATTAATGCTGAGCTGCCACTCTGTTTGGAGGATTCAGCGGAAATATCATATCTGGGTACCGAAGGAGTGCCAGTTATCCCGTCGGCTGAGTTGTCTGAGCGGCTGTCACCGGACTTCTCGTTAACTGAATGAATTTCGCGCTGACAGTTCAGTTGTAGACATTGTTGGTTGCTTGGACTTTATTGGAAGTTACTCGTTACATCTCACCTTCTATAACTTCTCTCGGCCAACAGCATTCATAGCGCTTTGAATTCCACAACGGCAAACAATGTTCCTCCATAAATCATAATGATTGCTCTTAAAACTAACAACTTGCACCCAACGAGAGTGAACGCACCCAAATTCCATTGTTCATTGAGTGACAAGTCGCAAAACACCCAGAAGCATCCCACCATGTATACTGCCATGTTACATTATTCGTCGAGCTGAGATTGGCCACACAAAGAACGTTACGCATATTTTAGGAGCGTTTGTGTTAGTTGCATGTAATTTGATATCGTTAAGAACCATTTCGAGGAAGTTGTACAAGAACATGAGGAGGGAGTTGAAAGCGGTATGGATGTAATTATTTGAGAAAAGGTATAGGCACGGATAACGGAACACAGGATCCTAGCAAGGATAAGGCTTGCCGCAAAAGCTCACTGCAAGGCAAACTTGCTGCCGTCTAAATCAGCTTCTTGCTGGGCTGCCTGCGCCCACTGCATCTGTAACTAACACACAGTGCTTGCATGCTGATGCTCACTCATCGCACATGCCCGGAACGATCAGTCAAAGGTGATCGTTATATCCAACCTGAATTGAAGTGCGGTACTCGTCGCATATTTCATGAGTAGTTGCAATTGGAGCTCCCAATCATGCTCAGGTTGCATATCCACATCGAGAGAATGACATTGTTCCGTAGTTCACATCTCCATTTGTGATCTAAACTTGCGAAACGTAAGGTGGTCTGTTCGTCAATCTTCTTGTTGGTCTTTGGAACGGATTTACGAAGCCATTAAACGCACATTAATTTCTGGCACCAATACTCTGTAAGGTCCGAGATACCATGAAACCTGAAATCCGTCTAAGTCAGAAGTGAAAGCATATCAAGATAAGTTTGCAGGGTTTTGTGGGGATGCATCGGTGGTAGTATACTTTCATCAAGCGAAACAGTACTGTGCAAGTTGATGTGCTTGAATTTGCAATTGAATTCGGATAGGTATACGTATACTCAAGCTTGCAGTGATTCACTTCTGTCGTCTGATCGCGAAGCTCGCACGTGCTTGTCTGGCCATGCACTGTCTCACTTGTCTGACATCCAGTTCACGATGTCAAGCTGTGCTGTATTACTCATTTAGTCATCATCAGCCTGATCGACTACGTGTGTGGTTGCTACAGGGTACGTGCGATATTGATGCGTACGTGCGAACGGCCGAGGAGACCCTAGCTGTGCAAATACTGTGTGAATTTTGTGCTTAACCGATTTCTACGTCCTATACTTCTATTGCGTTTGAGTTCCTTAATAAGTGATCCTATTCACACCTCTTCGTCTTCTCCGTTTTTGCATATTTGTTACTTGCGCGATATTAGTTCAATTCATTAAGAATACTGCGAAAGGGTTCCACGGTCGGTAATATTTACCTTTCAGGTTGAGCAAATTTGTGTAGACGATTTTCTCGACGGTTTCCTGAGGTTGCCACAATCTTACGGCCTACCTCGAACCGATGTGGTCTTTCGATCCCTGCGCCGGAAAGAAGGCCACGTTGGCGCTTCACCATCGAGGCACTTTATATGAACATGAATGAGTACTTCTCATTAGATAACATGCACCAACTTTGCCTCATGGTGAGAAAACAACTGCTTCATTTCGGCGCAGCGGGCACGAAGCAAGAAAAATGCGCCTTCTTTCTTCAGCTATCCGTGATGTACACAGACGCTTTACACTGGATGCTAAACGTCTTAATGTTGCCTGATCGGCTGGTCCTCAGAAAGAACGCTTTCGATGCCCAGAGCAACCAACGAGTGTTCGGAGGTTATATATATCAAAGTCACAGACTAATCAGATCAGAACTAAGAAACTGGTCATGCGCTGACCACCATGGTAAACGACTGGAATGATGGAAACTCGTAAACATTTTAATGCTATGAAGCACTGACTGCCAACATTATACCTGCGACCGGTTTTCTTACGCTGGAGTGTCTGTTTAAGTAACTTGAGCGATCACTTGTGCCCCGACCATCGCATATATATTTGAATCGACGTTCGGTTGTGCGGAATATCATTTTGCTATGGCCCTAAGATATAATGGTAGCAAACATCCGCGTTCAAGTAGGAATATGTTCACAAATCGTCATCACTTAGTAGTGAAGCCGTTTGACTCCATCAAAATTCGTTTGGGTGACCCAAATGCTTCACACCGGGACAGCCAGTGGGCAACTAATGGTCATATGGCGTCAGTCTAACGGTCACTAGCGCTGAGAGAAAGCAATATCTAAATAAAAAGTAACGAATTATAGGTAAAGATCGGTAGTGTCAACGATGCACTACACTGCGTGTTTAGCTCTTCCTATTCAAAGCTAACTTTTCTCCCTTTGCATGACCAAAAACATGCCTAAATGATAAAGCTGACCGTCTGCAGCAACGTTGAGCTTTCCCTTTGTCTAGGTACGATGTGCAAAATATTACAAAAACAGTCTTCTTTTACCTAAGAAATGTAGAAAGCTTGCCTGTCAGAACTTTGGCTACATGGTGGGATGTCACGCTTTGAGCCGGCGTGCATTCTGTTTAGATGCCACATAATCCCGATGAAGATACGGATAACAAGCGAGTCTAACCTGCTATAAGTTTGCTTGGCCTTTCATTAGACCCGACCCGAACTCATTTTACCCCATGGGTCATGTAAATCTCTAGCTTTTATTCCCATTAAATACAATGTTCCAATGTGTTTGATTTAAGTAGACTGGTCGCACTTGGTTTGCTTCCGGCTTTCCGTCTAGAAAATGGCTCGTGACTACTGCAGGGACGATCATCCTTCCCTTGCTAGCTAGGACATATTAACAGTACATTTAAACTAGTGGGACTGAATGTTTTGACCATAAAGATATATCACACAGATCTATTCGTATGCTTAAGTCTTTGCTCTATGGTGGGTTGCATCTTGGTTCATATTGAATGATGGAGCGCGTTTAGGTCCATCTGCAGATAGACCTATGGCCCATGGACCGACATGATATTATTAAACAAAGTATAGCATCAGCCTACCTGGGGGAGGTTTATAACCAAGGGACTGATCCAACATAGCCTGAATAACGTGTTTTGGGCGAATTCCAGGCCTTGAACTCCTGGTATATTATAAGATGTATGATTACAAAGTATGACGAGCAATTACTTCAATTTCGCTTTCCTCGGAACCTTTTGTGCAACATCTCTTTGTGGCGCACGTCCTTGATTGCGGGGTTTGCTAGCAAAGGACTCACTTGCTAAGCCATATAATAAGTTAATCAGCAAGAAGTTTTACTTGCAATCTGCGAAGTCAACTGATGTCGATATGAGTTAGCAACATTTGACTCTTTAATTAGAGCTAGGATTCAAGATGGTCACGAGCTTTTATCATGGCTACATTTCAAAAGTTTTCTGGTATCTTCACTGCACACGACTTTTGTCGTATTCCAAAATCCACCAGAGTTTGGTTGGGCAGTTGACATGTTGTCATAGCAACAGCCTGTAACCTAGACGTGATCGTTGTTAACAAATACATGTAACTAAATCTTAAAACGAGGCAGTAACAGTTTAGCAGCCGTTTTTGTACAATATTATAATAATAATGGTTGTACATTAAAATAGTTATCATTTTTACGTTTTGTTTACCAAACTGAAAGCTTTCAAGTTCGCGTTCATTTGGGACCGGCACCATAGGATAACCCCGTGAAGGTTCCTTGTGTTTGCGTATCATTGAATTGAGAGTTAATAGGGCTGCTTGAGTTGTTGAAAAGCCTAAAACGGAGACAGCATCACACCCTGTCCAACCAATTACTGCCTACATTTTCCTGCCCAGTAGCCTGTTGGGCGGAGCCTGGGACACTAGTCAGTAAGCAATGACACGTAACGTGTGTCAAATACGAGACAGGATAGAAGTCGGAAGCGACTGAACCCAACGTATATTGTGCATGCTACAAAAATAGGAAGCGAATCAGCCAGCGCGAGAACCTCTACTCACCAAACGCTTTGTGTCAACGGATGTGCAGTCACGAAAGCAAATGGACGCTTTGCAGGTTAAAACAACCGTAAATTCCACGGTTGCAAAATGCTGAAAGTGCGTGTTTTCCAGTACCCCAAAAGGGCCTGCCCCTAGAAAGCTGAATCATGAATCCTTCCATGGAGCTGTTAGTGGGGGAATACGGAAGGTGAGGATAGGTGCGAAAAGTTGCGTGGGTTTGAGCAAGGACTTCCAAATTGGGGTGTGTAGCAGGGTTCACTGGGCTCAAGCTTTTATTAGTTATTATTTCTGATGATTGTGTGGACCAGAGTGCGTCATCTGTGGGCCGTCTGGGCGGGATAGTCTTACCGTAAAAACAACTGGCTAGTACAGCAAAAGGGCCGACAGGACCTTCTCTTAGCTGCAGTCCCGACGGCGCGCTTGCGGGTTATCCTTCCTCCCACCGCACTCCAGGCCACGGTCCTCATCCCATGAAGAAATCCAGGCGTCCTCGTCCCATGAAGAAATCTTGTTTCCTCGTCGGCAAAGGCTGGCTAGCCGTTTTGGGACTAATCCGTTCGCGGTTGTCTGCGGCTAAGGGCGACTGACTGTTCCTTGGATCAGAAAGGGGGCCTTAGGTCAGTTGGTGAATTACTCCGGTGTGGCGTTTAGCCGGTTGGCCAGTCTCTCGAGGGTTGCCTTGGCAGTTCTGGCACTTGAGTTTCTGGAGGGTAGACCTCAGTGTGCGTGGGCAAGAGGTGGAGGGAAGTGGCATGACGCCGGAGGGGAACATGGTATGCACGATAAAAGCAAATACTCTTGTACAGTTTTGCAAAGGGTTAGTGGACAAGACGCACGATTTCCACTAAGGAACAAAAAGACGTGTTATTGGAAATAGTAAACGTTGGCAAAATCTGTAAAACGGACCGGAAGTTTGACCTGTCTACCGCGTCGGTCGGTTGCATGGAGTTTGGGCGAAATAGGTTCAGAGTCAAGGGTAACGAAGCGTTTCGGGATATCTGGTACTGGAGAAGTCACAGACGGTGCGGTTGCTTGTGTGATAGCATCAGGATGGGTTGCAAGTGCTTAGTCCGAGAAAACCACTTTGAGGCGGTCGATGGACACCGTTGTTCGTTGACCATTCTGGTCTAAAGTGAAATGTTTCACAGTCTGTTGCAAGCCGCTGAAAGGGTTACTGTAGGAAGACTGGAGAGGGCGCCGCACTGTGTTGGTGCGGAGGAAGACGTGAGTGCAGGTACAAAGGAACAATTGAACAATGGAACAATGGTTTATTACGGGTAAAAAAGCAGTACTTAACAAGTCCCGTAGGATGTAAATTATTGCGAAAATCAGTTGCATGATAAAGTGAAAAGCGTTGTGGTGGACTCACCATAGACTTATGTGGAATAAAGGATATGTTCGCGTATTAAACGTGTATCCATAAATCCATTGGTTAGGCGTTTGGCAAGACACCGTTTTATTGCGTTTTGTAGCCCCTGGCTAACAAGTCATAAAATGAATTGTAAGCGAAACAATACATCGTCAACACGTTATTTTAAATATCGCCAAATTGGCAGCAGAGACGACACAGTTAGGGAGGGCGTTCCAAGGCTGGCGCATGCACAGGGCAAAGAGATCTTTACGGCATTCAAGCTGGCTATACTGAATTGTCAGTTTCAGAGGATGATCTCTTAGTTTGGTGTTATGATTCAGTTTCAGCAGCGGACGGCAAATGTGGTTTGGGTTCTTCAGAGTCTGGTGGGGCACTATGAGATCCCCCCGCAAAAGCTTATATCGACTGCTGTACATCCTTAGAGATTTCAGTCTAAGATGTTGATGCAAATGAAAGAGGCCCCCGACGGCAGTGTTCCAGGACGAGGAGGGTCTTCGTCTGGCAAGCGTTTTTCCTACAATAAGCCACAAATGTCGGTGTAACAACACTGCGAAGTGGCGGATGTGACTCGCCACCGAATAACGTCACCGCCCCCAACACACATTGGCAAGTTGACCGATACCACATTTACAAATTCTGTGCATATAGCTGCTGTTGCATGAACACGCCCACATATTTGATTAGTAACACGCCACTATTCTTAAGTATTTCTTCCGCTTTTTCCGTACCGTTCACTCACCTGACCCACACTGTGTTCACAACCTCATCGGACTAGTTCCTCCTCAACATACTCCACATTAGTGCTATGATTCTTATCCCTACATCTCGCCTTCTGTGGACATAAACTTCGTAAAACCTTTGGTCCATATGGGCCCACACTATTGCCTCCAACTGTACTACTCCCGCTCATAGTGCTGCTAATCTTGCTATCATGTACAATGTTGCAATATGCTGATCAGGCTCAAAAGGCGTGCCTCGCTTTGTCGAGAATAAAATATTTATTTATTTATGTATTTATCCTTGGTTGCCCTTTGTCGAAGAGTCTCGAGAGCAACGAGATCCTGTTTCTGCCACGGCTGCCACGCCTGAATAGCATATTCCACGTGAGGTCGCACGTAGGCTCTACGCATTTGGGGAAAGATTGTGGGTTCAAACCGACAGAAGGCTCAGTGAAGAAGTCCAAAGTGTTGCTTGCCGGTTCTCGTAGCATTCTCTGCTTGTTTTAAACACCCGAGATCTTCCTGTACTAACACACCCGGGGCACGCTCCTGAGGGACCTTCTCCAAGGTGTGGTCTCCAAGTTTGCAAGCGCTCACCAGCTGGTGACGCAGATGCATTACTTCGCGCTTGGCGGTGTTCATTTGAAGCATGTTCCTCTTTGACCATTCGGAAATGCAAGCTAGGTCATTTTGGAGCGGATCGTGACCTGGCTTGTTACTAATCGCCCGCCACGGCTTGACGTCATCGGCGAAAAGCAGGAAATTTGAGGAAATACCTGATGCCAGGTCGTTGATAAACACCAGGAATAAGCGCGGTCCCAGCACTGAGCCTTGTGGAACACTACATTCCACCTCAATTGGGTTAGAGAGTGCTCCTATAACGCGTACTTGAAGCTTTCTTTGGTGAAGGAAGCTGCCAATCCAACCAAGTACAGGATCTCCGATTCCGTGTCTCTCTAGCCGAGAATAAAATATTTATTTATTTATTTATTTATTTAAGTAGGATGCGGTGACCAAGGCTATCGAAAGATTTAGAGGAGTCCATATAGATGACGTCGACTCCGACCCCGTCATCAACCACTTCGGTCCAAGTACCTCGTGCAATCAGTAGGTTGGCGGTGCATTACCGGTGTTGACGGAAGCCGTGCTGTTCCGGTACCAAGATGTTGCAGTTTCCCAGGTAGTCCATTAAATTCTCAGCAACGACTGCTTCCAGCACCTTCGCGAGCACAGGGAGGAGAGTCACTAGACGATAGTTTTCGGAATCTGAACGGCTACCGCCTTTAAAAATAGGGGTGATAATGCCACACTTCCACATATTGGGGACTTGTTGTTCATCAAAGAACCTTTGGATGAACTGCGACAGTGGTTAAGCTAGCTTGTTGGCCACAGCTTTCAGTGCTTTCGGACGGAGGTTGTCGGCTCCCGGTGAACTATGCTCACGCAGTGAGAGTAACTTCCGTAACACAATTGATCGGTTGAAAATTACATGTGGAAACAATGGGGTCGGTAATGTGCATGACGTTATGGGACAAATAGAGGTTGTGAATTCGAAAATTAGCGCGTATTGTAGCCGCAGAGCATTAGCAGCTTCTTCGGCGCTTTTTACTCTACCGCCTGTCGTGCAAAGTGGAGGGCTTCCATGCTTCACTTTACGAAGCTTATTGACATGCTTATATAGCAGTTTGTTTTTTGCCATGAATTTTATGACTAGGCACTGTTGATAAGTTACTTTGTCCTCACGGACAAGTGCATTGCAATGGTTGTGATGGGTCAGGAAATTGACCCAAGTCTCTCAGTTGGGCTTGATCTTGTAAGCACGCCATGCTGCCTCCATTATCGCCAGGTATTTTCGAGTGCTGCTCCTTAGAATTGAAGGCATTTTCACAGGACGAAGGGGCTTGGTCTCTGATTCTCGGTTGACAGTGTCGCTGAACCTATTAATGAACTCTGCCCAAACGTGGTAAAGGGGACTTTTGTCTGAGAATTCCCAAGCAGCTGCGTCGGCGAGTTCTTTGAATACGTAATAGGGTGTGATTGTATGAGTTAGTTCGGAGTGATCAGATGGATACACTGCGTAACACACATATTTAAACGTTATTAGTACATGGTCACTGAGACCTAATGGACTATCCATCAATAACTCGTCAACCATGAGCCCTTCTTTCGTGCGCACGAGGGCGGTTTGTTTGCTGTCCTGAATCTAGGGGGCATGGTGACATGATTGTACAAGGGAATATTAGCGATAAGTCCATGCAACTGTGCTTTGAACTGCTCACTGGGCGATGCCAAAACCTCCAGATCGTGTAGTTTGAAGTCCCCGGAGATGAGAAGGTGGCTGTACCTAGTGCGTGTTACCCTGTTCAGGCCACGGATCAAGCGAATTCATTCAGGAGTGGACGTTGGGGGTG